GGGCTACGGTGTCTCCCTTCCTCTCGCCCTTCCTTCCTTCCTTCCTTCCTTCCTTCCTTCCTTCCTTCCTTCCTTCCTTAAATATTTCATGAACCTCTTTACACTAGGTGTCCTACTAGACCCTGGGAATGTAGGGATAAAAGAATACTGCAGAAATGGTGAGGTGGGCAGGGGTTATTAGAAAAGAGAATAATGTCTGAAATTAAGTGTTATGTACTTAGCACTGTGGTGAACATTTTCTACACATTATTCTATTTAAGTCTTATATCAATACTGAGAAATAAGTTTTGCCAACACTTGCCTCAATGTTACACAATAAATGATGCTTGTCTCCATGGCACACAATGAGTGATTTAGCCAGAATTAAAACACAAGTGTATGTGACTCCCAGTTATGCTCTCAGATGTCACTTACTTCCCAGTTTGATAAGTAACTTCCTAGATCTAGTTTAAATGTCCCATCATATCTCTGTTTTCTCCTCTGGAAATTCTCCTATTAAAGTATAATTACTTCCCCCCTAACCTGTATTCCTGTATTCTTTATTAACATGATTTCTTTATGGCTATTTGTATAAATGTTTTCTCTCTCATCAGGCCTGGAAAGACCCCAGAGCAGGTAGCTGGCACCTCTGATCCACACGGGCATCACCCTCTCTGGCACCGTGGACCTGGTGAGTTGGCAGGATTGGGTGGGCCCTGTGGTAAACCAAGAGCTTTGCCAAGGTCACACTTGGCTGCCCACAGGCCTCAAAGTGTGCTTTGTTTGGCCTAAAAGTGTTTTGCATTAGTTCGCTAACTTTTATAAATTAAGAGCTTAATCATAAATTTTGGGCTTCCAGCTTCTTTTTAAAAATTGGAGGATTTGAAACCATCAGTGAAACACTCCATGACTACATCGTTAGAGGCCCCTGCGCCATACAATTCCTTATAGTCTCCTCTCCTGCTCTGCCGCCCTCACCACTCCTCAGGTATGCTACTGCCAACACCCTGACCCTAATATTTGCCACCAGTCTCCTGGGCAGTTTCTAAAATGTCTTAATTTCTATATAGCCATGTGATGGTTACTGTCTACAAATAATGGAATTTTTAAGGTAAAATTTGAAGCATCATAGACGTGATAATACAGTAGACTTTTCCTTTACCATTGTTAAGCTCATTTTACTAAGTTAAGAAGAACAAAATGCCAAGGGTAGAGAGCCTCATTATTACACAAATATCAAAGTATGTATCAGGGTATGGCATGTACCAGTTTCCATCTCCAATAGGGACTGCTCAGGTTATTTTCAATGGACATGCAGTCATTACGTAGCTATCAGCTCACACAATAAGGCTATTTACGAATTACTAGAGTGTTGCTTGCAGTGATTATAATTACAGAACAACTTTATGAATTCAAAATCTTCAATGCTTGGTAAAGAGATTTGGGTCAAGTTTATCTTTATATTGTGACAGTTTATGAAAAAATTTGCTAAGCAAATATACTAAGTACTTTGTTTATAAGAAAAAAAAAAGGTTTACTTGACACAAGTTTTAGAGTCATGAATTCCCAACAATTTAAGAGCATTGTAAGCAAAAGCTAGGTACTACTTAGGCTGGTCTTTTAATATAATAAGTACAAGTAATTTTTCCCTAGTCTTAAAACATAACTCCTGCTAGACAGTACTTTTTTTTATCCTAGTTCAACATGCAATATTTACTTGAAAACAATAAAATACTATTACTGTGAAACACATTGGTTTACTCTGACTTTTCCATCATCTCAGTCAGCTCTTTTCCCCAAGTCAACTGACTTATCTGACTCTACTTAGGAGAGTAAGTGCAAAATAGAAGGCCACAGTTAAGAGTAAATACTGATTAGTCACCTAAAGCTTCAATAGACACATCCATTATAATAAAATACCATGCTTTAATAATGCAAGAGTTGGCAGCAAAACAATAGATGTCCAAACATGATGAATAGCAGGTTAACCACCTCTTCAGTATAAAGGGAACAATGATGCCAAGTTAGCCTATTTTGGCTCAGTCTTGTAATAAACAAAATTATACTTTATAGATAGAATGCAAATAAATGGCTTACCTCTCTTGATAGTCACTCATGAAAAAAAAAAAAAGAATGTATTTTATGGTGCAGAAAAGAACCTTTAAAAGAGTTGAAGTTGATAGTAAAATCATGTCCTACCTGGGTAACTTTCTCTGTCACATTGTGTGTTCGATCTTTAACCTTGGGTGCAATAATAGTTTTATCTGAAGAAGGAGGGGATGTACTCTTTTTTTCAGTTTTGACATCTGAAAAATTCAGAGTGAGTTGTGGAATCTTGTTAATGGTGCTGTATTTGTTGAGGTTTGAATCCGATGTGGATCCCAGGAGGCTTGACTTGATATGATTAAAAGGCCCTAAAAAAATTGGAAAGTATTTGTGAAAGCAATATCAGAAGAAATAGAAGAAGAAAAAACTAGTCCTGAATGACCTGTTGGTGACCCATGATTAATGTGACCCTGATTCAGGTGTGACTAAATTTAGCTAGGTGATACCCAAACATAGGGTTTAAGGTCACTGTCTGCCACATAGAGTAGCACATGAGTATCTGAGGATAAGATGGGGTCTAGGTGTACACCCAGAGAGAGATGGAGGCTTTAGCTATTATTCAGCTTCGTTCATTAAAGGGTGAGATAAAAGAAAAAGAGAGGGAAAAAAAACAACTCCACTCTCTATCATTGGCCAAATTCTACCTTCAAAGTTTCTCAAGAATTTCCTTTTATAATCCAGGGATTACTCAAGGAAGGATTTGCCTCTGGTTAAAATCATGTTGGCCATGAAATTTCTGAATGGGCAGGCTACCTTGCTCCAGTTCATATTATTCTCCTCTCTGTGCTATGTTTTTTGCAGAGCTTCCAGAGCAGCTAAGACCAGATGGAGGAATTTCAGGTAAGACTAAGAAGGGCAAATGTTTTTCATTTGCCTTTCTTTCTCTCTTTCTTTTGTTATTATTTTTTATTCTTGAAAACTCTAGGATCCTGTGTGGGATTTTAAAATATTTTCCTTCTTTTTCTGTTTTCCTTTTGTTTAGAATTGACTGACCACTTACTGAGGGAAAAAAAGAGAAAAAGAAATAAAATCCACACCAGAAGAATGCTTTGCAAACAATTTACAATTGAAGTGCCTGTAGCTAGGCAATAGGATATACCTGAAGTTGGTAGTACCTTGTTATTTCTTTGACTCTCTCTCTCTCTCTTTTTTTTTAAAACCATGCCACACATGTGATCCCAGGAATTTATTCATCTTAGAGCTGGAAATTTGTACCCTTTGACCAACTCTCATGATATCTCAAATTCCTTTCCCACAAAGATTATTTGGCAAGGTGCCAGGACTCCTGACCCATTGTTAAGGATAAGTAGCCTGGCCAGCAACATCTTCTTCTGAGATGAACCTACTGTTCTTTGCTTATGAAGATTCAGAAAATGCTCCAGGGGTTCTTGTACAATGGGTAATGCTATGTAGCTCTTCGAAATTAGCATCAGGAAGAATTGTAGAAAAATCCAGAGCCCACGAGTATTATACAGACATTAACTTTTTGCTTCAGAGAGTGCTTAAAACAAAAATTGCATGAATGAACTTGCTAGTTAACACATTTTGCCTTATTTTTTTTCCCTGTTCAGAATGAAACTAACACAGTTTAGGGATCAAAATGTACTTAATGCACCAAGTGAGGTATAATCAGTTGAAAATTTTATAGTTTGTGTATTTTGGACCACAACAACCAATCAACTCATTCAATAAAATGCTAAAAATATACTCATCACTTAGTTTCATTTGAAGAAAAATCACATTATGTTTGTTTTTTAAGAGTTATATTTGATTATTATAAACATTTGAAGTTATTTAAAGAGCATTTTTATCAGGGTTGCAAACACTTTGTTTCTTGGGGTACATTTCTGTTCATTTCCTGAGTTTTCTTTCTGTGATGATGATCAAGTCCACCTAGGTGAAAAGTGTCATTGAGTTCTCTGCATATATATTGCCTAGCATGTTCTCATTTGCATGCAGAATTTCACTTTCTTTTCTGTTTATAAGACAAGGAAAGAAGTAAGAGCCAAAAGTGGTACCAAATTGTTCTAGCCTTCAGATAGGACTGGGACAGAACCCTACGTCTGTGTGGAACTCTTCACTACATGCACTCATTTATTTTATTATTTTTAAACTATATTTTTATTTATTTCAGAGAGGAAAGAAGAGAGAGAGATTAAAAAAAATCAATGATGAGAGAGAATCATCCATTAGCTGCCTCTTGCACAATTCCTCCTGGGGATTGAGCCGGCAACCCAGGCATGTACCCAGACTGGGAATTGAACCCGTGACCTCCTGGTTCATAGGTCAATGCTCAACCACTGTGCCACACTGGTTGGGCCATGCATTCTTTGGGACCTAGCCTTAATGGTGTTTCCTTTTTTTTTTTGTACCCTTCTATGCCTACATTCCAAGTCTATATCTTAATATTTACAGTTTGTAAAATGCTCTAGGAGCTCAGATATCTTGGTATTGTCCATTGCTCAGCTCTAATGTCATATTTTCACTCCTTAGGTAACTTTACTACATAGAAATACTGACAAGAGATTGCAAAAGGTTAAAGTATAAAGTTAAAAAATGTGTTTAAAATCCTTTAGCCCTATTATCAATTCCCTTTCTCTATCATCCTTCTATATGTTGGATTTCTGCAGCAGGTTATCTACAAAGTTGTTTACAAAACTGGATAAAAACATGGATCATTTATGATGTTACAGTAGAAAGACTGTTAAATATACTTTGATTGTCCTGTGACCCATTCCACTGGAAAAACTCCACTGAATTGGTTACATAGATAAACAAGTGGTCTCTACTATGAGAGTAATTCACTCTAAGGGCAGCGATTTTCAATGGGGTACCATGAGAGGCACGATGGTGTGCCACAAGAATTTTTAAAACAAGCAATACTTGATAATTTAGTCGGGGGCAATGACCTCTTTTCCCTTAGATTGTCAAATTAAAAAAAATGACAACAGCCAACACAATAATAGTTGTACAGTGTGAATGAATCAAAATCATACCTATTTTTTGTCACATCAGCAAGAAATATATTTTTTGGTGTGTCACAGTGTTTTAGTAATTGGTTTGTGTGCCATGAGATGAAAAAGCTTGAAAATAGCTGCTCTAAGGGCATTTGTGAGGCATTTTTATTTGTTACAATGATGTTAGGTGTCTATTCGGTCACCTTGAAAAATTGTCCCATAGGCCCCAATGGCCATTCATGTAGGTGAAAAGCCTGTTTATAACTATCTGAACCTTGAACCTGTTTCACATATAGAGTACAATGTACTTTTAAGATGCTTTTCATATATATGGAATTTTCTAGAGCTATAACTACCATGTAAAGGTAAGGTTTTTATGCAGAACTTTACCAGAAGTTATTCACCATTTTGGAATATCAAATCACTTAGAGCTACACTAGTTATGGCTTTTGAGTTGCCAAAACAAATTTCAGACCTCAAGTTAGAGTCTATGTGTGTAGTTGTCACATGTAAATATATGTAAGCAAAGAGATTTGAATCTTGTTTTAAAAGTGTTGGAGCCAGATATTATATAATTTCCAGAGATTATAGGAGTCACACTAAAAATCATTAATAAAATTTTACTTTAAAATATTTCATACTTTTGTCCTTTATATGTAAAATTATGTGATACAATGAAATTAAATCAATGTAATAAAAGCTAAACATTTGAAATGATTTGTCCTAGGATTGCCTGTTGGTTTCTAATTTCTCCTTAGTAGCTCCGTAGTGATCTGCCATAATTCCTCCAGAATGTCTTGATTCCCATTTCTTCTTCCAATCCATCTTCTAGTTCCCATTGCTTCTGAAGGCATGTGGTCTGTAAGGCCTTTCTTAAGTGTTGAAGAATGAATATATGTCCTGACATTTAGTGGGATTTCTTTCTTCTGTGCAATTCATTACTATTGCATGTTATCAAAGAGGGAATCATTTTAGCATTACACTTAAAAGTAAGGGCCAGCTCATTTGTGACAATATTATACGTTCTCATTTCTACCCACTTTATCTTGGTATAGTACTCATAATTCAATTTTTGTTTCCTATTTTTCATTTTTAAGTATTTTCCCCTTTTTTATTTTATTATTTTATTTTATTATTTTTTCCATCACCATTTATCCCCCATATACCCTTTTCCACTTCCACCCACCCTCCTACCCCTTCTAGTTACTACACTGATGTACCTGTTCATGAGTTCTTACTTTCAAAATTCATATATATAAATCCAATATGTTACTATTTATTCCAATAGTGAATTTTATTTTGTTATCCACCCATATTTCCGCTCTATCATTTTGTTCAGTACTTCTATGGGCAGTGTTCTCATGGCTTCAATGCACTTACAGTCAATATTTTCTTATGTCTAATTATTGCAACGGGAAATTAACATATTGAGATAATTATCATTACATTACAAACTGTTTTCTTTTATCTTTGTTTTCGGTTGCAGTTAAGGAATCATGTTGTTCTCTTAGAAATAAGTTAAATTATTTCTGAGTGAAGTTTCAGGATAGTAAAATGCATATTAAAAATATTGGTTTGAATAAGAGGATAGGGCTAAGATTTGGCCTCAGAATATGACAAATTCATTGCAGTGTGTATTTTAGCTTTTCTTATGTACTGTTGGAAAGCCTTTCTAAACTGTTACTCTACTCTGTTTCTTGTTTTTTAAGCTCTTTGTGTTAGAGATTTAATCTAGGTGACCATTTAATCTATCCATTTAATTAATTCAGCAAAAATTAAAATATTTCTTAAAATAATTCATGCATGCTCCTTAGATAAGACTTACAACCCACTTTATCCTACATAACAAAGATTATTATGTTCTTTTCCACTAATTTTGAAGCATATGTTTATATGCAGAAGTCTGTTAGAGTGTGCAATATGATCAGTGTTGTTTCTAAAATCTATTGAAGTTATAATAAAAAAAGTTTCCAACACTTTAATTAAGACAGGTATTAGCAATATCTTTATTTTACCAATTGTAAAACAAGGCAGATAGAATATGCGGCCAAAAGGGAATAAGAGTCAAGGATAGAAATCAGAACACAGGGATTCCTACCTCCTAATCTATATTCAGAGAGGCTTAGCTGATGATTTAGAGGTGAAAGACAGCCTCCCTGAGTGTGGTCATGAAGAGATGGGGTTTAGGAGTCTAATGAAAGAAAGGAGAGTAACCGAAAAGTTAAATCAATTTAAAGAAAATAAATGGGCAGAAATAAAGCGAACTAATGGATTCAGTTGAAAGAAATGTAAAACTCAAAAATATATAGAAAGACTCGATGTTTTTTTTAGAGAACCATTGGCAAAATGGATGCCCTGATGGAGATGGAAATGAGGTGATTAAGAAGACTAAACCAGCAGCTATATCAGGCTCTAATATCTCACAAGTGTCTGATTAAATATAAGGTAGGCCAGGTTCTAGCTACAAAGAAATTCTCTGCATTTAGAGATCAAGCTAGAGGCTAAAGCAACAACTAGGCAGAATTTTAAATTTATCATGAGTGACAAGAGACTAAAGGAGAATATATTTTCTTTTAGATGGTGCTGGAAATACAGCTAAGGACACCTAATATATTTTTAATATATATATATTTTTAAGATCTTTGCTCTAGAGGGCTGAATGGGTCAAGAGAGAAGGAAATCATAAAGATTAAGGTTGTATTTAATTCATCTGGTGTTTATACAATATTTCTTAGGGTGCTGAGTTTGTTTTGCTAAAGTTTAATAAAGCCTAAGTTACTGACGTGACAACATTAAAGAAATGCAAGAGCAGTGTTTAGAAATTGAGTTTTGTAAAAGAACACTGTCAATAGCATAAGGACAAGAAATTTAAGACTAGAAAAAGATAAGTAGTCAAATTATTTGTAGTCGATATCATATTGTGTTTCAGCACATAGCATATAATTTACAGAAGAAAACTGTCACAATTGAAAAATCAACTTGCAACTCAACTTATATAATCACAAATATTCAGTAATGGTCAATATAGTTTATGAGAAACATTTGTATCAGATTTCCGTTGTGAGTCTGATAGTTTTGGTGGAATAGAGAAGGTAAAAGCTGTACTAAATCTGGAGAGTACTTTTGCTTTGACTCATATGCCAGATTCTTAGACAAGTTAGAAACTGAACATACCATTGTCAGTGGGATGCAGTATTACCTGAGATGATCAGGAGGTGGAAGCAACAGCGGTGTAAAATTATATTAATGACTTATTTCCTAGGTAGGGAAGAGGTTAATTTTTATTGATGACTTGGAAAGCAGAATAAGCAGATAAGCCACTAAGTTGGAGATTAAAATCTGTTTATGTGTGATTGTAGGATTAAGTTCACCTCTCAAATATTAAGAGAAAATAGTGAAAAATATAATGTACACAGACACACAAATAAATAGCATATGCAATTTATTTGAATTAACTTTTTCACTCTTTGATAATAAGTTACACTTTTTGATCTCTGAAGTCTAATTTTAAAGAGTCAGAGTGCTATCAGAATTTATTAAAGGGAAACACAATTGATCCCAAGGAAGAAGGTTAAATAGAAGTTATTCAATTTAGAAGAAAAGATTGAGTATCAGTTTGCTGTTTTTATACTGTGATATTACATCAAGATTAGAAGTAGCTAGCTAGCATCTCTGTCCAACTCAGGATAGATGAAGGGGAATAAATTACATTTCAGCAAGAAGGATTTAGCTTAGCTCTTTGTGTAACAGGCAGTAAAATAGATTTCCCAAGAAAATTAAAGAATGGGCTCACTGGAGATAAAGATGCCTCTACCACTGGTGCAAAGGATTTAGACAACACCCATGCCCAAGGGGAATGAATGAAATAATCTCAAAAACCTTCTAAATGCCTTCCTAAATTATTTATTTTATTTTGGTAAAGAAATAATTTTTAGTTGAGATAAAACTAATTATGCATTTGTATACAAAGAAGTGTAGAAATTTGTCTTTCATTTTAAAAATTTTTTAATTTAAGTGTAGTTTAGGAACAAATCCAAAATTTAAACAGCATGGTTAATTTGTCTTATATCTAATTAGATTAATTGCTCTGTGAATATTTTAAGGGGCCGGACACTTAAAAATTTTTCAAGTTGTTTTCAAAACTAGAGCTTGAACAAATAATGAAGACTTTGGAGGGCACAGGTACATTACATTTTTATTAAATTTACACATGTTTTGTCTAATTTGGGAATTTAATTTCATAAATATTAATATACAAAAACTTTCTACAATGGTTTAGAGTTTCCTAATTGCAAATTCTGATTTTGTGATTCATTTTCATTCAAAGACAACTGCTACTTAAAAAATGAAGGGTTGAGAAAAAAAAAGTTGAAGAATAAGTGGACTAGTTTGAGACAAAAATAGAACTGCTGCAGTTTGAATGACAATTATGTGAGCTACTAGTTTGGAAGATAAGCAAGCTTAATTTTTTATTTATTGAGAAAAAATTAGATTCATTTCTAATTAGATTCATTTCATTTAAAAGATCACCGGAAAATTAATGTTTAATAATTGATTGTTAATTAATTTGGCCAGCCATATGTCACAGAGGCAAGTTGGTGAGAGCTGTCTGTATTCTGTTTTTCGAGGTTATGTTCTGCATTAGATCAAGTCAAATCACCACCTGCAGCTGACACTGATTTGCTTTCTTTTAGGAATCTCAGGCCAAGGATAGAATAAGCATGTGCATGAAACCTCATCCTGTTATTGGAGTTCTCCTGCACAGACCCTTTTGGAAATGCTTAAAAAATAAAACCAGGATGGAAAGAAGTTGCCACAATTTCCCTTATTTTCAAGTTATCCTGGGCTGCTAAAAACATCTTTAGTTTTAGTGATAGTAATTCATCACAGTCACCAGCTCTGAATTAATTAGAGAAGGGATTGAGAAATCAATATCCAAAACTTCACCATGACTAGAGTAGCAGTCACATAGGAAAGAGGTCAACACAGTGAGTTCTAAGGAATGAGGGTTACTGGTGGAGACGTGTCCATGCAACACACATGCACAAAATGAGTCACTGTCACCACATGCATACCCACAGCAGCATGCATGGCCTATGTTAAAAAACTAAGCCCCACAAGTTTTCCATCTGATGAGAACATAGGATTATTTTAGGCTGTGATTCCTGGTATCCACTATGATCTAGTAGAAAAACAGAAGTGAATTTCAAATTTTTATCCAACTCCCGATTGTCCAGAGGTTATTTCTCCATTAAACAATACCCTGTAGGAGCTATAGGTCATGCCAGTGATTTCAGACTAATATAACACACAAACATGATTGCAATGGAATATAGAAAAACGGAAGGTGACTACCATGCATGTATAGTTTACTACTACAGTAAGCTTAAAACCATACCCCCTGCCATCCAGGAACGTGAAACTAGTTTTAGGGAAACAAAAGAGGAACAAGTAAAGTGATGCTGTCATGTAGCACTTTGCTTATTTTATTTAATCTTGAACTAAAAGATTTTTTTGTGTTTTTTTTTTTTTGGCTGAAATAGGCTTATGTGCCTCTTCCACACAGGAATATATGTAGCTTGATATTTGTATCTTTCCAAATGATGTAAATATTTAGGAAGTGTTCATTGTCAACTTGGGCTTATGCTTCTTGCAGGAAAAAGTTCATAACAAACACCACTGAGAAAGTAACAATGCCTCCAGCCAAAATCAAGCCATGATGTCTCCACCAGGCACTTGGACGAGCTAAGGGCAGCATGATGTTGCATTGAACAGGGCATACAGCAGGCAACTTCACATGCCAAGTAAAGGGGCACTGGGAGCATCAGATGTTAAAATTTGAGTTCGTACTTTACCTTTGACATTGCGACCATTGTCTGTTTTGAACACATAAGGATAAAAGAAAAGAGAAATATAAAAAGACTAAAATTATGTCATATACACTGAATTACCTCTGTACAAAAACAGAGAAAACAGAATGTAATTCTTAAAATTTTAACTTTGAAATTAACATTTTGACCTATTCAACCAAGTAAAATGCATATGCTAGAAATAGTATCTGCTGTCATAAACGTTCATGTTAAAATATGTGAAACATTTACCTCAATTTAAATGGATTCCAAGATACAGATATTATAATTATGACAGTTTGGAGAAAGACATACCCAGCTGCATGTAGTTGTGATAAAAACTTTCAACCTTGTCAGAAGCCAATTTTAGTGTTGCTTCAACCATCATTTAACAAAGAAGGACCACACAACATTTTGCATGTTAAACAATTTTTTTTGTATAATTTCACCTAGAGTTTCAATAAGGAAAAATATTTCTAAAACAGCATTTTACCTTATAAACCAACTTGCATATTAATAACAAATTTATTACTTGTCCCTCTCATAAATGTTCTTTAATGTATATTTTGAAAATACCAAATTGTACACAAAGAGTCACTCCTAGGCAAAAAATAATTATAACAAGTCAGTGAGACACTGGACTGCTCAAAGGGAATGTAAGATTTTAAAATTTCCGTTGTTATAATGCACTCAGTATAATACCTAGAATATTTAGGAAATTTGTTTATATTAAAACTGGAGGCCCAGTGCATGAAATTGTGCACAGGTAGGGTCCCTGGCCTGGCCTGTGATCAGGGCTGATCTTCCCCAGCTGCCGGCAACCAGCCACGCCACCTGCCACTGCTGGCTGCCCTCTGTGTGTGGGGCGAACAGCGGGGCGATTGGGGCACTGGCACTGCCCACATTCGCTGCCACTCACTCCTGGTTCCCAGTTCCCCATCAGGTGATTGGGGCCTGTGGGCTGGGGGCAGCGTCTGCATTGAGCATCTGCCGTCTGCCCCCTGGTGGTCAGTGCGCGTCATAGCCGACCAGTCGTTCTGCCGTCTGGTCTATTTGCATATTACGCTTTTATCTATATAGTTGGGTTGTTTTCAAATCTCAGAATGGAGTCTGTAAGGATAGATAAAGGCCTTTCCTTTTCTTTGCTTTGGCCTTCCACGGCTTCTGAGAAGCACCTGGTCATTAACCCCCAACATGGTTGGCTCCTCTGATTCCAACAGCTCCTCTGTTCACACTGCGGATAAGATAAGCGACTCTCAAGGCTTCATTCTCGCATCCCCCTCATCCCTGCTGTTTTCACACTCAGGGAGAATTCTCAGCAAGGAGTCTCTAGTTAGTAGAAGGTTCCATTTCCCCCTCCCCTCAAACCACGCCTCTTTTTAACTCTTCATAACTTTTGTTCTAAGCTTGTTCTATGGGCTTGGGAAAAATACTGATAAGATACCTCCTTAGGACATCTGCCGACTGTCTCCTGGAACACAAACAAACCGTAACTTTTCAAGACAAACCCCCTCCTATCTGCTCAACTTCAACAGGACCCCCTCCTATCCTTGTCCCTTAGCAACAGCCACGGCTTCAAAGTGCAGGCCACCCTTTCTTTCTTGCCCTGTACTGCCTAGCAATGCGTGGTCCTTTCCTCTCTTGGAAAGGAAATAAACGCCTCTCTGCGTCTCATCTTTTACCTGTGAATTCTTTCACAGCCCATGGCACCAGCCAAACCCTAACAGAGTGTTTTCAGATTTAGAGATTAGCAATCTGACTCTTTGTTACATATTTGCTACTAACAAAATATGCCTGACTAGTTTTGAAACAAGCAGAGCTTAAAATAAACAAAGTCATGTCAAAACCATTCAAATATATCCAAGATTTGAAAAATCTGTTCAACATTTATTGACATCTCTGCTAATATCGGGGATATTTAAAATCTTGGGATATATTAGCATTGTTTCAAAGCTTATAATTGAAGCACTTTTGATAGTGTGATATATTGAATCGCGAGTGTAGACATTGCCTTAGACAGAGATACACAAAGGCTGTGACCTTACATGACAACTCTCTGCCCACTTTGAGGGACCATTAAAAGCAAATAGGGACAATGGAAGAGACCTTGATTACATAGAATTAACTATCCCCATCAGAAGCTGGGTTCAAACATCATTAGTAAAATAGCAAGTGCTTTCAAGAGTTTAAATATTAAAATTCTACTTCCCAAATCTAAAAATTACATATAAAATTTTGCAAGTTAAAACACTCACACACACACACACACACACACACACACACACACACACCCTCATTTGAATTTATATTGTTGTCTCCTACTCCAAGAAGAGCAATTTCCTCCTATATTGGCTATCTTTATAGAACTTACAGTAATTTGCAAATATATGCGTGTTATATAGTCACATTATATAGTCACATTACATAGTCAACGCTGCTTTGATGATCTAAGGCAGAGCATGGGGTTCATTCTGCTGGTTCTAGCTGGATCTGATTGTTTTTCCTCTGTGGCAGCATAACGACAGAAGTTAGAGTAAGTGTGGCAGAAGAATTTTACATCTTTCACCCTAATTATAAAACAATTGGGGTTTATATTTTGTATGTCTATCTTTTTTGAATTTCATTTTTCTAGTAGTATATTTTTATTGTATTTACAAATATATTGGTTCATGATGGCTTAGATAAAAATTTCTGGTCCTTCACTGTAAATAGGTTGAGAAATACAGTTCTAAGGAACTTGATAATGTAGATTCAATGAAATAATAATGTAAAATATTATGCCCTAATATATTTGCAAGTTTTTAAAAAGTGCTACAAAGATAATCAACATAGGAGGAAATTGCTCTTCTTGAAATAGGAGAGAACAACATAAATTCAAAATCTGGTGAATGTGGAGGTTAACCTGTTAACCAGTTACATGAATCCATAAAACTAAAATCAGTTTTAAAAGTTTTCCATTTTCCCTTTTCAGTGGCTCAGTTTTTAAAATATATAAAATATATAGCCTTAGGAAGTGTAGTCTTCTATGGTAATGAGTGTTGTAGCTAAAATTATTCTGAAGCTAAGTACAAAATGTCCACTGAATTTATCAGGCATTAACTGTAGCATCTGCAAGAAAGTAATACAATTTTTTTGACAATAACATAACTTGGATGATCAATAACATAAATTAAAGATCTCAACTCATGTTCAAGTATAGAATCCATACTGAGAAATCAAAAAATGTTAAATCACCCTTTCCCATAATTGTATCAGTAACTGCACTAAATGGAGATCACATAAAATTGAAAACTGTAAAGTTAAATCATGAAATCTGATCTAACCTTCTAGCATCACCATCAAATCACAGGCTAAGTTTGTGTCTATTCTGCACTGATTATGTATCATTTAATACTCAAAGGTACTGTTTCTGAATGTTATTATACTATAACTCAGGTGCTAGGCAAAAAGGCCAGTCTCTGAAAAGTCAGCACAATTCCTAAAAATGGTTACACTAATTGTATTAACTAATTAAAATATATGCTGGTCATTTAAGTTACTATGTTGATTTTACTGTTTTTCAGCCATAGGATCTATTGCTCAAAGATCAAACTTCAGAGCTCTCATTGGGTCAGGAGATATCGAACATGCAATTACTACATGGTTTAGAGCCTTAGATGATTATCCAGTTTCAAAATTGTCCTTGATTTTATTTTATTTTCTCTCTTTTTGACATTCTTTGGGCTACCGATTAAAATGGATGTGCTCACTGCTCTTTGACTATATAGAGTTTCTCAAATCTATCTGATAGAAAACTGTTCCTTCTGTTTCAGTGATATTGACTTTTCTTCTCTTTGAAAAAGTTCCTGCCAATTCATTTTCTTTCACCTCTTCTGCCTTCTCTACTTCACAGGGGATCTATACAGATCCCCACATGATTCAACCCTAAGCTTTTGGTTTAAATTGTATAGCATTATGGAGCAGGTAACTCATTTCCTGATGTCTGTGTGTTTTCAGAACATGTTTCACAAGCATGGCTCTCGCAATTTTAACCAGCACTTACTGAGTTCCTGTCATAATACAGGCAATAGTTCTGGGTACTGAGGCTGCAGAGCTAATTGTGCCAGAACGCCCATGTCAGGGAGCTCATAGCAACATAATTACTTGCTTGTATATCCAACAGGGATGACACAGACATATAATGCAGTATAATGTAGGCTACATTAAATGCTGTAATATATGTAAACACTGCTTTGCACACTCAGGTGCAAATTGAATTCCTCTGGTTTGAGAAGGGGAAGTGGGTCTTTACAGCTATGGGGCAAAGCTGGGAAGAGTGCTTCTGGCAGAACAAAATAATGAAGCCAAGAAAGTGCATGATACATTTTTAGAAAAGGCAATTAAGTTTTGTGGAGGATTGGAATAGAATACACAGGAGGGGAGAGAGCCTTGGAGAGGCTAGAAATGAGGCTTAAAAAATAACTGTGACAAGCTGGCAAAGTACCTAGTACCCTTCACTCAGGAGCCCCAGAGTCGGATTTATGTTAAAACGCAGCAGCATGAGTGATGATGGGCACTTGCAGGAAGGAATAGCACAGAAAGGACAATGGGTCTCTCAAGATCCCAAATCTGCAGGATTCAGAAAACTGATGTGTCCGTGCAGCAGGCACTCTGAATCTTGGACACCGTGGGAAAAGTTCAATGATTCAAAAGACCCCTTGTCCAGGGAGGTTTTATGGAGCAGGAGTGAGGAAAGAAAAACATGAATCAATTGTGGGCTTTGGGTTTAAAGCAGGGGTGGGCAAACTTTTTGACTCGAGGGCCACAATGGGTTCTTAAACTGGACCGGAGGGCCGGAACAAAAGCATGGATGGAGTGTTTGTGTGAACTAATATAAATTCAAAGTAAACATCGTTACATAAAAGGGTATGGTCTTTTTTTTCAATAGTTTTATTCATTTCAAAGGGGCCGGATCCAGCCCGCAGGCCATAGTTTGCCCACGGCTGGCATAGGCGCTTCCCCAATGTCTGATGATAATATCAACAGTGTCTATAGTCAGCCTCTTGGTAGTTCTCAAAAGAACACAAAGGGATTCATCACTTGCACTAACAGACTAAGATGCAGACAAGGTTAACTTTGGGAAAGAGATCAATAACTTTTGGGCCATCCATTAAAAATGTGGGAACTAAAGGAAATATTTCTAGGAACAAATATTTTAAAAGTCAGTACACACCTATCCTTGGATAATCCCACATAGGCCCAGAGACTGCAGCAGGGCTTGACTATTTGCTAAATATAACACAATTAATTATGCTTGAGATGATAGCGTTATGACCTAAGCACATCTTATATTATGTCATTAATTCATTAAACTTCCATTAAGTAGGCAGATAGTGGTTATCATACTATTTCAGAAACACAGATAAATAAGCCATAAGAAACCAAATTAGTCACTGGGGTTCCAAGAAGAAATCAGTAACAACTCTGAATGTAGGACTCATATTTTTTAATAGCCTCTACTCACATTTCTTCCTTTAAGCCTTAAGGAATACCAGGCAACGATTTTCAACTGTTGTGCCACAGTAATTTTTAAAATGTAATACTATTTAGTCAAAGGTGCTGACCTTCTTTCCCTTAGATTGGCAAATAAAGAAATGACAATAGGCAACACAATAGCTATCTGGTGTGACTGAATCAAAATTATACCTATTTTTTTGTGAGGCAAAAAATTTATTTATTTTTGCAGAAGTTTAGTAATTAGTGTATGGTGTCACGAGATGAAAAACGTTGAAAATCACTGCTCTTAGGCATAAAGATTAATGTAGAAATGAAAAACAGTATCGAAATTCCCTTTCATTGCCCATTAGTTTATGTTTTCATATTTTAAAAAAACTTCAGACGTACCTTCACTGGCATGTCGGTCTCTAAATATGTTCTTGGGGTGGACACTGAATCCTTCCATATCATGGACTGAAGAAGCCCTCCGTATACTACAAATGCTTTCTTTCGATCTGGAATGGGTCAGCTTGGAGCTTGACTGAAGCATGTCAGGGTAGAGTCGGTCCCACTGCCTTTTGGGAGAGGAATGGTCCAGAGGTCCAGATATATTCACCAACGGGGAGCATTTGCTGGGCTGTATCAAGGCTTTTGTATCATCTGCTTCAGAGGGGCTGCAGCTTTCTTTTGTAGGAGACTTAAAGTGCTTCATGGCCACCGAATCATCACTGTGTTTGGATGAATCAATCACGACCACATCAGGGTCTTCTTGTGGTAAGGACTCCTTTCTGTAAGTGAGAACTCTCAGGCCAGGGAACTTGAACCCAAAAAGTTTCCCTAGAGACAGAAAAGCGAATTATTATAAGACAAAATATATACCTCTTAAAATAAACAAGCAAATATGTTTGGTTCATATTTAAATGATGTGTAAGATTTACTCGTCAATATTTAATGTACATTTGGAATGAGGCAAATTGTAGAAAACTTCTCTGAGGGTAATACAAATTATCATGGGAGTGTAAGAAAGTAGTAGACATAATTTTACCGTGTTTTTATAGGTAGATATTCTCCAGTGATGTGAACCCATTATTTGAATGACACAAGGTTTTTTGTTTTAATAAATTAAAAGTATATACCCACTATATATCCATTCATTGAGGGTATTTGAAAGGAAGAGCATAGTTTAGAAGTAAAAAAAAAACGTGATGGGGCACTGTGTGTAAAAGGATCAGACACAGAAAAGACTGTAGGGTATGCATGTGTATGTGTTGGGGGACTACTGTATTTCAAGTGGGGGGGAAGGGAATGAGGTGGAGATGAGGAGATGGCCTGACATAGCTAGAAGGTTTCTACTGGATAATAATGTTAGTTGAGTGTGGATGGAAAAGTGAGGTCAACTATGTATGAGATGTTTCTTATTCCATTTGGAATTCTTGCAAGACTTTTGGTTTCAGAGAGAGAGATGTATGATAAAGATAGGAATTCATTTTTCCTGATTTTTTGTCCTGAAATCTGAGAATATAACTAAGAAACACATAAACTCATTGGTAGTAAAATTCAAATTAAAAAAAAACACATAACATTTAGTGTTGGCAATGAATGCTGGAGAGCATTGCAACCTGCTACAAATTCTTTGGAAAGTCATTTTACAATATTCATTAAAATGAAAAAATACACTTTTCATTTGACTCATCAACCCCATTTATAGAATATCACAAGCCACAAAAACTAGACATAATCTGAATATTCATAAGATGAAGAATGATTGTATAAATTATGGCGTTATTATACTTTGAAATCGTATGACATTTTTAAGAAAACAAGAATATGTTTATGTTCTTGATGTTTGGAAGTGGGGAAAATATAATATATTGCATCTCTCTTGTTTGTTACATCAGCATACATTCTTTTATAAATTAAAAAAAAGCTAAAAAGGTAAACTTCTGTCCTTAAAGAGAAATGAAAATATAAGAGAAAGCATCCAAATAATATTGTATAATTTAAAGATTTTCTAAGAATTGTCTGCAAGAAAATGCAGAGTTTCTAGTTTGTATTGCCAGCTTAGTAGCCTCGGCCGACATCAGCCACGCCTTTCCAATTACATGTCGCCATTCGAGTTAGTCAGTGGGTTTCTTTGGTTTACCTTCTTATATTCTCTGATGGTCAGGGGCACCATTATCTTTAATATATTTACTATGAATTTTTCCTCAGTGGATTGAAGGTGGTCTTAAAATGTGAAAGAACACTCAAAACTCATGAACTTCCCTGCATTTTATTTGCATATGATCTTCTAGTGGATGATCTCATGCTCACACATGTTTAATGATTCATAAATTTGTATCTCCAGCCTCGACCTCCTTTCTGAGTTCTAGAATTGCATATCTAAAGGCCTCATCAGCATCTTCATTTAGAATCCTTAATGATACCTCAAAATCTCATAGAAAATTCAATCTCATGATCTATCTTCCCAAGCCCAGTCCTTTCTTTCAGTGAATAGCATCACAATCCACTAGTTCTATAAGCCTGTGACTTGAGACTCATTGTATTACTGTTCTCTCTCACCTTTATCCCTCATATCTGATCAGTCTCCTAACTGTGTTCATTTAATCTCTGGAATATCTTTTAATGATAGTCATAACAATCATTTTCACTTCTCTCATTTCCACTGCTCTCACTTTTGTCTAAGCTCCTATAGGTTCATCTGATTTCTTGCAATTGATGCCAGTTACTTTCCACATTGCATCATATTGTCCATCCTTTAAAAAATAATTTTCTATCTTTTAAGAAAAAGTCACTTTTGATCACATAGACCAGCGGTTCTCAACCTCTGGGTCGCGACCCTTTCACAGGGGTCGCCTAAGACCATCAGAAAACACATATATAATTACATATTGTTTTGTGATTAATCACTATGCTTTAATTATGTTCAATTTGTAACAATGAGATTGGGGGTCACCACAACATGAGGAACTGTATTAAAGGGTCGCAGCATTAGGAAGATTGAGAACCACTGACATAGACTATGTCATTGCTCCCAATAATTCCCTGCATTGGGAATGAAGGCAACTCTATCTCCGTTCTGCAGCTTCATCTTTCCTTCCTCACCCTCTGGGATCCAGTCCTATGGACTTTCTAATTCCTTCGGAGGCCTTTGCTTCTTTCTAGGCTTCCTTGTGTTGATAAATTTCACTCTTCCCACTTAATGCATCCTTTAGGTTTTAGCTCCAAAGTTATTTCCTTTGGAAAATGTTTCCTTCCTTCTGAACTGGATTAGCATCCCCTTTATACCTTTCTCCACAGTTCCCTAGTTATACACTTGTTGACTTTCTTATTTCTCTCCCTTAGAGGACTGTAGGCTCATAGGCGAAGGGCCCTTGTCTGTTTTGCTCACCAAACCCCAGCTCTGACGGGATGCTTGAGTTTAGTAAATAACTTTCCACAAGCAGATGCCAAACTGAAAATGTGCTTCAAGCTTTACTGTAGAAAAATCTTTACTGTAGAATATTTCATTGCTCTGACCAACTTAATTAGGGAATCTTAGCCTGCTGAAATTGTATTGACCCCTATTTACCAAAAAATGATTAATTGCATTGAACTTGGTAGCTCATGGAAATGGTGAACTGCATACTGTGTACTATAAACTTGATACACCTCTTACTAATATTGTAAATTTCATCTTTCTTCAGTGTTTATTAATTGCTACTATTCTGATTTTAGAGCAGGGGTGGGCAAACTTTTTGACTCGAGGGCCACAATGGGTTCTTAAACTGGACCGGAGGGCTGGAACAAAAGCATGGATGGAGTGTTTGTGTGAACTAATATAAATTCAAAGTTAACATCATTACATAAAAGGGTACGGTCTTTTTTTTTAGTTTTATTCATTTCAAACGGGCTGGATCCTGCCTGCGGGCCGTAGTTTGCCCACGGCTGTTTTAGAGCATACAAGTGTTTTCAAACTCATCGTTATCTAGTGAATTTTATGAAAAATACCCACTCAGAAAATTTTAAACCTAAATAGTTTAATTAATTATTGCACACTTTCATTTGTAAGCTAGTGGACACCTAATTAACAGTGTCAAATATAATTGAAATAAAATTGATCTTTGTGGTTGAAGACATGACACAATGCATAGACAAACCCCAAATATGTTGAACATTAAACTCATTTTTAAAATTTCAGTTTTTTCCATCACCATTTATCCCATTGTGGTCTCTTCCACCTTCACCTATCCCCCTCCACCCATGAAATCACCCACTCTGTTGCTCATGTCCATGAGTTCTCTCTCTCTTTTTTCTTTTTTGCTCAATCCTTCTGCCCCCACCCAACCCCCCTGTCTGCCTGCTCTCTATCTATGAGCATTAAGCTGTTGATTAATAAAATGCAGAAGAGAGTAATGAATCCATGCAAATGGGATTAAATGATAGCATATTACAATAACTGTTCTGCAGGCATTTTTACATAATTCTACTGACAATGTTTATACGCTCAAGTAAATTGGCAAGTTAAAACTTAGTGAACTGCATCAGAATCATTTGATTAGTTTTTAATGCACATGAAATTGAATAATAAAGCAGTTTACAAATCAATTCTGTAAGCTTATTATAATGGCCTGAAGGTCAATGCCTATTTTTAATCATTTTTCATCACTTAGATTACTCCCTTCTTTTAAAGACAATTCACTACCTTTCTTAAATAATGATTACACAAGGCATATCGTTTGTTCATACAGTTTAGTGATGTACAAGGTGGTACAGATGGTTTTTTCTGCATCACTAGGTTAATATGACCATGTTATATTGTATTACAGATTTAGTTGTCTAACTGTCGTTCATCCGGAAAGAATACACATTGAGAATTTTGCTTAGTGCTGGCACTTTCAAGCATGAAATAGAAAACACTAAATGAGTGTAGTCCTGTTAGGATCTTAACACTGAAAAACATCCTCGTAAGTCAAGTCTTCAGATTTCACTACATACGTCTTCTAACTTGAATAGCTAAAATAGATACAGTTTAACCTATTTACT